TGAACTACTCAAAAGGTCGGCCAGCCTCGAGGACCTCTCGTGTAACCACGGTCTGCTCTCCACGGCGGTTGCCATCGCGAGGACTGGCGAAGCGCAGCTGGTGGCGGCCAGCGGTGAGGCAGGCAAGTGGGCCTGGGCCGGCGGTTTGACGAGACCGGACTCCAAGTGGTGCCGGTGCTGGCGAGCGTGGATACCGGCCGCGGTTGGACCAGCAACGGACGAGCGCTGGTCGAGAGGCGGCAGTCTGGCAGATGCCAACGAGCCGAGCTGGCCGACGGGCTCGGGCGAGGCGAGTCGACCGTTGGTGAGGAGGCCAGGCCTGATCGGCTCGAGATCCAGGTCGGAGGGGCTGCAGGGCCGGGAAACTTTGCAAGGCGGCGGTGGCCACACTGTACCGTTGAGGTGTTTGTTGGAGGCGGGATAAAAGAGGCATGACGACGACAACGACGAAGAAGAAGAAGAAGAAGAAGAAGAAGCGGAGGAGGAGGAGGAAGAGGATGAGGGGGACGAAGAGAGGGGCGAGGAAGAGGACGAGGACGAGGAGGATGCGAGGGGGAGCGAAGGAGTGAGTGGGTGGCCACGGGAAGCGGGGCCTTCACTGTTAGGGCAGACCGTGTGGCCAGGGCTGACAGAGGCTTGGTGCCTCGAGACGCTGGCCTGATGGAGGCCCGGTAGTCCGGCCGGGCTGAGAGCGTCGGGTAGGCAAGAGGCGGCAGAAGCGAACGAGCGATGAGGGCTGCTGCCTGTCTGCGCCATTGCCAGGATGAGGGGATCACCGGTCGGCGAGACGAAGCTGCGCCGGCGACGCGGAGTTTGTGCTCTCTGCGAGTGGCGCCAGCAAGGACCGCCGTTCTCATGGCTATGGTCAGGTGCATGGTGACGTAGAGTGCCGTTGGCCGAAGCCTGATTGTCTTGGGGCGGGAGGCCAGCGGGAATCGGAGACCGGCTGGTCGGCTTGGGCGAGTGCCGCTTCTCGAGACACGTGGGGCTGGATAAGGCCGACAGAGCCGTCCCCCTGGCGACCAACAGATTGTAGAGTAGCCCGTAGTTGCGAGTTGACGGTGGCGGTGGCGGTGGCGGTGGCGGTGGTGGTGGCAGTGACAGTGGCAGCGATGAGGATGGGTGTGACGAGGCGTCCGCGGGGGGGAGCAGCACAATCGGAGTGTCCTCGTAGTGCCTGGAGGGGCTGGAGATTGAGCCGGAGGAGACGAGTGGACACGAGCTGAGGGCAGAAGACGTGCTGCCCGCGGGTCGGCTCGAGTCGGGCGAAGGCGCCGACGACAAATTGGCCTCGGCCGAAGTGTTAGGGGGCTGCGAGGAGGGCTGTCTCGACAACAGCAGCCGAGGCGACGGAGGAGATGCGTTGGGGATCGGCGAGAATGCGGTCAAGTGCGACGACGTCTGCGAACTGGCCGGACTCAAGCAGAGGCCGGACGCGAGCGGAGAAGACGAGCAGGCACGGCTGAAGCCGGTGTCTCGGCCGGCCCGAAAGACGGCAGGGTCGCCCTCCGCCGGGTCGAGACGACCATCGGCCGCCTCGTCACCGCTCATGGACGCCGCATCGGAGGACAGGCAGCTCCGAGCAACGGAGCAGAGGGCTCGCTCAACAACTAACGAGGGAGCCTGCCCCAGAGGCGATTGTCTTGTACTTACCTCCGAGTTGGCGTGACCGTTGATGGGCTGACAAACAGAAGGAATAAGAAAATGACGTCTAACGACGACTCAATCGAATAGGCGACTAGATTATAGTGCCAAATAAATACGAATAAACAATGGGTGAATAGTATACTAATACAAAGAACCATATTTAGCCAATTCGCGGAAGGTGATAAAGGGGTGATAGTTGGCGAGTAGGCGTTGGGCTGTCATTGGATTTCACCACTTCAAAGAGTGAATACCAAAATGCTGCATCGTTTAGTGCTCGAGTCAGGAGTTCTCTTGACTCGTTATTTCGAGAAATTATGCCCTCTTCTGATGATTTCTGTCACATGAGAGACGAAGGATTATCACGCTCTCACCGTACTCCAAGGCGGTTGCCGCGGAGACAGCATCAATCGGAGCGCTTCAATAAAGCAGAACCAGAGCTATCGTCATGATCTGATAGGATAGGCTTTCGAATGCCTTAGTCATGTTCATAAAACATGCTTTTACACTCTGAGGATATCAGTGCGCCAAGGACTTATTAGCACAAATCTATAGCCAATTTACTAATCCCTCCCCAAAACAGTTTTAAACCAAATGAAAAGTATGACAAAATTATTGCAATGAGAAATACTTCATAACCTAGCTTCTCTCCATCTAAAAGTATTTAGCTCAATGTGCGTCTATCTATCCATCTGTCTGTCTGTACTTATATTTGTGTGTATGTGTGTTCATGTATGCATGCATGCATGCCTGCCAAATATTAAGATTGTCTCTCAATGAAGAAGTAGGGCTAAGTAAATGTGAAGAAAAGCTGGCTTTCGAAGAATATGACTCGAACTATCAATTCGAAAGAGAAAATATCCTAGGAGAAGAATGTCGGATTTTGCGAATAATTCTCCTCTCCATTCAATATTTCCTTAAAAATTGAAAGGCAAGTCACATACTTCGAAAGCCAGCCTTTTTTCACATCTAATTAGCCTTACCTGCCCAGCGGTATACCTCATATTGTTTAAGGAAAATTCAGCTATCGGTCCTTCCTAGCCTTATCCACGACCTATTGACAGTATTTAAAACCTACTCAATACGAATATGCAAATAAAATGTGTTTCAAGGAATCCCTTGGCTTACACTTGTTGAGTTAACATCCATTTCGAGAAAAAATGTACAATGATGGGATTTGAAGGTGAATCTTACTATGACACGACGGCAGATTCGTCTTTCGGCTTTATTGGAACAATATGGCTGGCTCTGTTTCCGTGGCAATCTCTCCAATTCCGGTAAAAATGTGCTTAGTCTTCAACTCTGATATGACGCACAGTACAAGGACAGGTAGTCACTCTTACAATAAATGTAAACTTGCAAATCAATACAACTTGCGAATCCCTCCAAAACACAGTTTAGCTTGAAATTAAATCGAGCTCAGCACCGTCTGTTTCTCTGTCCGTATATCTATCTCTATAGCTATCCGTCTATTTTTATTTATAATTATATTTCTTCATTTAGTTTTAAGTTTTGAACATATATACCATGTAAGCTAGAGCCGGCTAGTTTTAGTGACTTGGTGATTTTCTATAAGAATCAAATTCAGTACTGAAGACTTCCGTCAAATGACGTGACAGAAGAAGTCTCCTCCCGTTTCCACAACCATTTATTCCCTGAAGGAAGCTTTTTCGTAGATTGTGTGAATCTGAAGGTCACGGTAAAATTAAACGAAGTCACGGCATCAAGAATCATCAGTCGTCTCCCGATGAGATCAACCGAGAAACCTCTTCTGTATAAGACGCCTTACGAGGTTATTAATTTCACCAGATTAATGGAAACCCAGTTCGGGTTTAGGCAGTGCTGTTAGTTCCCTGCTTGACTGCCGCCACTGCTCATAAGTGGGAGAGGGGCTAGAACAGAAGCAACTCTCGGCTGTTTGCCGGGCTTCGCACGATGAGTAGAAAAAGCCAGAAAACGCCTACTAGGCTGAACTAGACTATCGTTTTATAACCCCTGACGCCAGCAGACAGTCAATTCGACCTTGTGCAGAATGTTAAACGACGCCGATTCTCCAACTATCCAGACGTCGTGAGTGGCCTAGTCATTGGAACAGAAGTAACATCATGTCCCAGGTTCGAGGGAAAAGACCCATAAGATGAGGGAAATGTTGCCGAGGTGTCGGGGTTCAGCTTATGCAGGCGCTGCCCAAAGTGCAGTCATGGAGTGGAATCGCAATGTCTGTTAACCGGCCTCTGAAAGCCCCCTCACCTCTTCGTTTGTCGCCTCTGCTCGCTCGACATC